AAAATGATTGAAAATTCTCGATATCGTTGCAGATATTTAGCCACGGAAAGAGATTCCCGTCGATACGCGGTGGAATCGTACACGATAAGCGAGTCCGAGAGCGAAGAAGAAGAAGAAGAAGAAGAAGAAGAATCGGAAGGGGCAACAACGTCGTTGGAAACAAATTCTGCATTGACGGTGGATCGTACAACCGACGACCCGGTAGTTTCGAACGAAGGCGCAGTTCGTACGGATTGCAAAAGAAAAACTGCGCGTCGCGTTGCCGAAGAATTGTTAGCTACCGAAGAGAATTACGTCGGTATTTTACGATTGATCGATCAAGTGTTCCAGTTCAAGATCGATCAAGAGAACAGAGCGCATCCCATGTTTCCCCCGGAGACTGTTCAGCACATGTTCTCCAATGTTAAATCGATATATAAGTTTCACAACGATTTCCTGCTGCCGCAACTTCGAGAGAGGATGCAAAATTGGGAATCGGATCCTAGGATCGGAGATATAATGAAGAATTTCGCACCTTTCCTGAAAATGTACACGGAATATGTGAAGAACTTCGATTATGCCATGAACCTGATACAGACTCTTCAAACCAAAGTGGCCAGATTCGCTGCGATCGTCGACGAGATTCAAAAATTGGACGAGTGTGCCAAGTTATCGTTGCCTCATCACATGTTGAGTCCTATACAAAGATTACCAAGATACGAGCTTCTCCTGAAAGATTACTTGAGAAACCTCGCAGAACAAAGCGCAGATTACAGGGACACCGAAAGTAAGGGTCTTTCCGTTCGTTCGTTCGTTCGTTCGATTCGCGATGAGTATGACTTACGCATCTAAAGTAATGCGCATCTAGCAAGGACTGGCCTCTATTTAAACGTCTGTTGAACGCGGGGCACGTTTAAATAGATAATACGTCCGTAGATGGCGGCCCGCCATAATAAAATAAAATAAAACGTAGAATCAAACAAACAGACACGGCTTTCTTTCTCGTAGAGGCGTTGGAATTAGTATCTACTGCTGCTAATCACACGAACGATGCGATGAGGAAGATCGACAAGTTCAAAAAGCTTCTCGAGATACAAGACAGCATATACGATACGACAGATCTAGTCAGTGCTACGCGCGAGCTTGTAAAAGAGGGCCGTATCGTTAAAATTTCGGCAAGAAGCGGTGACCATCGGGAAAGACATTTGTTTCTGGTACGTACTTTTGTACGTAACGTACTTAACGTACAACACACACACACACACACACACACACACACACACACACACAGTGTGTATCTAGATACGCGATCGATTGCCATAAATTTGCGCAAACCGATGCGTGTGTATGTAACAACAATTACGTACTCTTTGCTCGATCCATGTATCGTAGACTTCAGTGATAGAAATGTTCCTTGCTTGTTCTTTGTTTCAGTTTACCGATTTATTGTTGCTTTGTTCCATAAGATTGATACCCGGGCCGTTGTATCGATTGAGAGCTAAATTCTTAATCGAAAATTTGCAAGTGATCGAAGGTGATAATCTGGAAACGGCAAACACGTTTTACGTAAGAGACGAGGAGAAAAGCGTCGAATTGTACACGCACGCGGCCGAGGAGAAGGCAGCTTGGCTCGAAGCGCTCTTCGACACTATGCGAGAAATGATGAAGAGAAAAGCGAGCCTAAAAACTGGTGATGTTAAAACTCTCGTCGTAAAGACCGACGACGTGTCTAGATGCATGATATGCGACGTCATATTTTCCGTAATGAAGCGAAAGCACAATTGCCGAGCTTGCGGAATAGTGAGTATCGCTTGCACTGTCGTCGATTCCTTTCTCAGCTCCATTCCGTCTCTTTCTACTATATTTCACTTGTTTGTTTTTTATTCGTAGGTTATTTGCGGTAAGTGTTCGAATCAAAAGTTGTTGTTCGAAGATAACAAAAACATGAGAGTTTGCCGCCTCTGTTACGCGGCGTTGACGCAACCGCTCGTCAAGTCACCCTCCTCTTCCACGTCCACGTCCACGTCCACGTCCACGTCCGGACCGGTGCCGAGTCTGTTGCAAGTTTCAGCAAGCGCCTCCTCCGTTATATCTGGATATCTCATGTTAAAAACACAGCCGAGTAAACCCTGGACACGACGATGGTTTGCGTTGCACACGGATTTTGTTTTGTACACGTACAAGTCCGAATCTGAAAATATGGCTCTGACGGCGACTCCCATGCCTGGTTTTATCGTTACCGAAGGTACTGAATTATCCGACGAGGATCCTTTAAGTTTCAAGGATAGGCCTAAAGCTCTTAAGATGCATCATTCTAGAAAAAGTTACTATTTGCAAGCGTTATCCAACGAAGATAAACGCAAGTAAGTTGTATTATTTGTGTGCGTGTGCGTGTGTGTGTGTGTGTGTGTGTGTACTTACGTCGCGGTGAAACTGATCGTTTATAACAGGATTCGTCAAATTTTACTTCAGGTGGTTTCATTCTTTGCAATTAGCTACCAAAGCGGAATTACCTTCATTCGCAGCGAAGGAAACGAAGGAAAAGTACGAAGACGCGCAAAAGGATCGATCGATCGATCGTTCATAGGCCATGAACGATTCGTCTTCGATTTTATTCAAATTTATGATATCCAAGTTAACTAACCTCTTGCTGCCGTTACCACGTAAGATCGTTAGTTGGATAATTGTTGTACGAAAATGGCGTTAACTTGTGTTGTATATGGTATATACAGATATATGCATAAACATATTGTTGTTGGTGTATTGTGTGTGATCGACTCGACGATGATCGCCATTACCAAAATGCTTGTTGTATTTTGTACCATTTTGTTATGTATTTAAAAATATATATGTATATATTTACATAATTGTCTAATTGTCACGTCGCACGTACGTGATGTATATGTCGTTATCCCGACGATGGGAAACACCGATCAATTCTCCGTTAAAACTTCCATCCTTCCGATGTTCTAATGTTCCGATTTACGTCATTTCCATGTCGCGATACGAGAGATACGTACATAGTTTGAGATATTACAGTCGCATCGCGATGGAAGGACGAAGGTATAGTAAAGGTACCAGATCGCACATCACGTGCGTTGTATGTTACTAGCATTATCGTTGCGCTCGTGTTTTGTTCGCAACTCTGTGTCTTTTGTTTATGTTTAATGTCATTTACGACTATGCGGCCGACTACGCGTGTCGTTACGAACGATTTCGTAAAATCGCGGGAGACCACGCAGCGTGCAGACCACGTTGGATTCATATTTTTATATGAGAGACGAGAGACTAGACACTGTTGCCGAATTTACTCTCGCGACGGCTCGTCCATCTAAAGTAGGCTGTGACAGTAACGATGTTCTTAAATTTGAAAAATTTAACGTATCGCTTGTATCGCGTTGGGCGATTTTTTCGTTGAAAATCATAAAAGTTATAAAGTAACTTCGAGTTTAAACGTTTGAGAGAACGTCCGTACTCGCAGGTGATTGGTCAACGAACTTGACCAACTTGACCGAAATATATATTTGCAAAATGTCAATGCGGAGAACTGTCAAAATTTAGAAAATGACAGTATTTTGGGAAGACGAATTTGCGTCTAGTTCGAAAGAATAATCAATCGTTGTTATCGAGAGATAAAGATTAGAAAGATCAAGATCTTGAGCGAGACGAATATTATCGTTGTTTACTCTCCAGTATTAAAAATACGTACGGACAGGCGTATAACCTCAAAGTGCGTTACAAGTTTCAACGTTAATTCAAAATCTCGTCGCGTAACGATAACGTTGGCGTAACGAGATCGTTTTATTCTTTTAATGACATTACTCGTGCAATATTATGAAAGTGTATAATGGAGGTGTCAGAGGCGAGAAATCTCGTTAGAGATTTGGATTTAACCCTACAACCTCGTATCTTTCCACGATATAAAACTTGGCTTCCCCTTGCTACACAACAGGTAATTCGTACATTCGTACGTTTTTTATGCGTACTGTAAAACGTGATTATCGTGATCTTAGTTTTATAAAAATTTTATATATCGTGTAACGATCGTATCGTGGCAACGTAAATGTACGTACGTGTATGTATCAGTGATATGACGTTCAATGTTATTCTTAATTAATTAATTTATCGATCGTTGTTTGATTGCTACGAGACGAGACTTTTAATCGTAAATTAATGCTTATTTGTAAATTCGTGTCTTAAGATCAAGACGTGTCTATTTATTATATGTATTAAGATGCGACGTAAAGCATGTTGGCACGTGCCAAATAAACTAATGGAACGTATAATTTTCAGTTGAGACTTAGGAATCTTATACAAATAATAGGATGCAATCTGAAAACAAATACGAATAATGAACTTTGTTGGTTTTATTATACGTTGCATAGAACAAGTATGTCTTCTCCTATATATACGAGCGAGGCAATCGACAATGTAAACCCAAGATGGTCGAGTTTAGAAGTACCGATCATATATGCTACCAGTTATTCTACTGCCAATGGTGAGTAGACTTTACGTCCGACTTTACAGTGTATGTAAACAAGTACATGGTCGTTTGCTTCTCGTAGTCGCATGTAATACCTGCGATATCCGATTCTAATTATTTGATCCTAATTAAAGTGAAAGTATGGAATATGATATAGCGAGAGGAAGTAATGATCTCTCTTCTCATTTCTTTTCCCCCTTTTTTCTTTTTTCGACAGAAGTCATTGTAAGATTGTGGAAAAGGATGACGACCGTCGATAATAACGTAACGACTGATTCCACCGTATTCACGTGGGGCGTATCTTTCACTGGCTTGGCATATATCGGTCCGAAATTACCAAATAATTTGGAAACCATTTTGAAAGAAAATTCTTTAATTTTTCAATTTCACGGTGGATATTTTACTCCGATGTACTGCTTCGTCGAAATTCCCGAGTTAAAAAGGTATCTACGTATAAAAGTGAACGCGTGCGAGATAAGAGACAGTTACACAGTGAGTAAGCTTAGCAGCTTGAGAAATAAAATGCAAGCGTTGAAACAGCAGACAGAATCGGTACAGACACTTCGGATGCAAATTGCTTCCGGGGATAACTTTCGTACGTCGAAGTATTCACAGTCCTCGTTGAACAGATTGTTTCAACCTCGTAAGGTGAACAGGGAGAAGAAGGCAGAGATATTAAAGATACGCAAAGAGTTGGAGGTAGCAAAGTTTAGAACAAAATTGTTGGAACAAGAAAGGGCGAGGAAAATGGGAGAACTGAGAGTGTTGAATCAGTTACATTCCAACATTATGGAGGAAAATCAAGATTATGGTATCGATTATTGTTACGTAATATTATTCGTGATGTACGTACGTCGTATATACGTATATTGCATTTTCGACGCGTTTGTTGTTCAATTAGGTTCCACCTTGATGGAAAGGTACAGAGAACTGAACAAAGACATTGAGAGATTACACGAATGGCGCCAAAATCAAATAGATACGAGAGAAACGTACATTCAGTTGAGCAGTCAACTTGCTCATAGAAGAAAACAATTGATTTCGGAATTGAGCTTGATATATCCTATTTCTCAAGTACGTGTATCCCAAGTATCCGATGCAATGTGAAATTTTTTAAAATAATAGAATAATAATAATAATAATAATAATAATAATAATAATAATAATAATAATA